GCGCGGACGGCACATCGCCATCGAATCGCTTTGCGCACGCCCCGCATCTCGGAGGAAGAAGAAGAGGACGAGGAGGGGAGGGAAGATGTGGGAGAGGAAGAGAGAGAGGAGGAGGAGGAGGAGGAGGAGGAGGAGGAGGAGGAGGAGGAGGAGGAGGAGGATGGAAGAGGAGGAGGAGGAGGAGGAGGAGGAGGAGGGGGGAGGAAGGAGGAGTACTTGTAGTAGCAGTACCTCCGAGGACGAGGTGGTTCTTACTCCTCGTTCGAGATGTTACGCCACCATCCTGCGGCCTCAGCGCGTGACCCTGCACGTTCACGCCCCCAGGCGCTGCCGCTCCCATGCCAGCATCCTCCACCTACCCCTTCCACACCCTCTCAAGGGATCCCTGAAGTCAATCCTTCGACCCTCGATCCTTCGAGTCCCCGGAAGTCATCCGTCCTCCTTCTTGTCCTCCTCCTCCACATTATCTACGCCCTCCAAAAATGATAAATACTTAATAATTGAGGTTCAACAGGGACTCTTGGAAGCCCCCCAGAGGCGATGCCGAAACGAGGGCCCCACTCTTGGGTCAAAGATGAGGAAGTATCAGATAGGAGCGACAAAAAAAAGGGATAGGAGGAGAGGAGGAGGGAGGAGGAGCGAGGAAAGAGAGCCGGGAGAGGGAGGAGGGAGGAGGGAGGAAGAGGAGGGGGTGGAGAGAGGAAGAGGAAGACAGAGGGGGAAGGAGGGAGGAGGAGGAGAAGGAGGAAGAGGAAAACGAGGAGGAGGAGGAGGAGGAAAAGGAGGAGGAGGAGGAAAAGGGAGGACGAGGAGGAGGAGGAGGAGGAGTGAGGAGGAGGAGGAGGAGAGAGAGAAGGGGGGAGCAGGAGGAGGGAGGAAAGAGGGAAGGAGGAGGGAGGAGGGAGAAGAGGAGTGGGTGGAGGAGACGAAGGAGGAAGAGGAGGGAGGGGGGGAGGAGGAAGGAGGAGGAGGAGGAGGAGGACGGAGAGGAGGAGGAGGAGGAGGCGGAGGAGGAGGAGGAGGAGGACGAGGACGAGGAGGAGGAGGAGGAGGAGGAGGAGGAGGAGGAGGGGATAAGGGCGCCAGTCCAGTGTAAAAAGGGAGGAAGTCTCGGGCGGGAGCGCTGGTTTTGTCGGGACGGGGGCTGTCGGCGGCGAGAAGAGCACCGCCTTGAATAAAAAGGGAGGAAGTCTCGACCGGGAGCGTTGTTGTTGCTGGGGGGCGGCGCCGATGAGAGAAAGAGTAGCGCGCCTGTCCAAGGTAAAACGGGAGGATGTCTCGAGCGTGAGCGCTGGTTTTGTTGAGACGGCTGCTTTCGGCGGCGAGCAAGAGCACAGGCCCTGAGCAAGAAAGGAGGAAGTCTCGAACGCGATGTTGTTGTTTTGGGGCCGGTTTGGGCGGTGCCCCAAATCGCTTGAAAGTGAGCCTCATTTTCAATGAAAATGCAGCCGGCGCCTCGGCGAGGGCGCCAGCCAGGGCGCCTGTAAGGGGTCCAACAATAATAATTGCTTATTAATTAGCATTCAATAACAACAACACCAACAACAACACCACCACCACCACCACCACCAACAACAACAACAACAACAACAACAACAACAACAACAACAACAACTACTACTACTACTACTACTACTACTACTACTACTAGTACTACTACTACTACTAATAAAAATACTAATAATATTGTTTTTATTATTATTACGAATACTACTACTACTACTACTACTATTACTACTACTACTACTACTACTACTACTACCACTACTACTACTACTACTACTACTACTACTACTACTACTACTACTACTACGACTACTACTACTACTACTACTACTACTACTACTACTACGCCTACCACTACTACGACTACGCCTACGATTACGACTACGACTACGACTACGACTACGACTACGACTACGACTACGACTACGACTACGACTAGTACTACGACTACTACTACTACTACTACTACTACTACTGCTACTACTACTACTACTACTACTACTACCACTACGACTACCACTACGACTACTACGACTACTACGACTACTAGTACTACTACTACTACTACTACTACTACTACTACTACTACTACGATTACTACTACTACTACTACTACTACTACTACTACAGCAACAACAATGGCTGCAGCAACAACAACAACCATGACAACCACCAACAACACCACCAACAACAGCAGACACGACAACAATATGTTTAAGAATGTTAAGTCTTATCTGGTCGCGTGCCATTCAACACGTATATCACAAACCCTCGATACCCGCCCTCTTCATCTTCGCTCGTACCCCAGTTGGGAATATATCGTTCTAACCTGCCACATCTATTTCGTGCAGCCCCTAAGGCAGGGGAAGAGAGGACGGACGGAAGGAAGGAACAAGGGGGAGGGAACACAGAATGGAGCACGAGAGAGAATAGCAGGAGGGGGAGGGCTAGGAGCAGAAAACAGGTGGCAAAACCAGACGGGCAGATCGGGCGGGTTGGCCCCAACGGGCGGGGCGGGAAGGCGGGCCCAGGCGGCCAGGTCGAACAGGCGGGTTCCTGAAGCGTGCGTCCTGCATGAATTGCGAAGAAATCTACCGCGATTCCCATATGACACGGAAAGACATCCACAGCGAGAGCGTGATTCCTGAGTGTCGACGACAATCCCACGCGAGAGCGCGATTCAGGTAGAGTTTGTGAGAAGGTCCCGCGCGAGAGCGCGATTCCGGTAGAGCTTGTGAGAAGGTCCCGCGCGAGAGCGCGATTGTCAAATAAACTGTGAAGAAGTGTCAGGCGGAAGCCATTGTTGTAATAGTTCGGGGGCCAACAATTAGGTCGGGCATGTCCCCCTACAGGCGGATTTGGACGAGAATTTAGAATATTGACAACGAAAAACAAAAAACCTAATAAACATCGTTTTTGTCCCCAGACTATGTTTTACTAGTTTGGGCGATTCCTCGTGTAGAGGGACAGACCCGACTTGATAATACTTTGGGGGCCAACAACCCAGTTTGGTGACCCCTCGCCTTCCCTTGTAAAAAACAGGGTGCGGGCCCCGGGAGAAGCACTTTGCATTTCGAGGCATATCCGGTCGTGGCGACACGGGCCTCCCAGAAGACCCAAGAAAACGACAACAAGGCAGGGGTAGCGGTGTCGATACACTTCCCCGTCCTCCTCCTCTTCTTATTATTATTAGCATTATTATCATGTTTATTATTAATATCCGTATAATTCTTAGTATTATTGTTGTTATTATTATTATTACTATTATTATTATCATTTGTATGATTATTCTGCTGCGTCCTAGTATTACCCTTATTATTTGCATTATTAATATTATTCTTAATATCATTATTCCGGGTATTGTCATTCATATGTTTTTTCTCATTATTATTCCCCACATCCAAAGTGGGGTTCTTGTTTTCTCTGCACACGCCGCGCAGGATCTCACCCCCCCCCCTTCCCTCTCTCTCTCACACACACTCCCCATCATCACCATCATCATCACCATCAACCACCATCATCGTCATCACACGCACACACTCATCATCATTACCATCATCATCACCATCAACCACCATCACCGTCATCACTGCTCATCGTCATAATCCTTCATCATTACTCACCATCATAATCCTCATCATCATCATCGTCACCATCATCACCAGTCGATCACCCACTCATTCACTCAATTATTCACTCATCTTCAGTAGGCTTCGGAGGCGGTAATCCTCCGACGGCAGGACCGCCGCCACCTTCAACATCATCGTCACCATATCCATCATAATCTCTCGACCACCCACTCAGTGGCCATCATGATCATCATCAGCATCATCATCACTCTGTCATCACACACTCATCATCATCATCATCAGCAGCATCATCATCATCATCATCATCCTCATCATCATCATCATCATCATTCACTCACTCATCATTTCGTCGTCACCCCCCCCTTGGCTTGAATCTGGAGGTAGTATCAGGCGGGAGCCTCGTGTGTGAGTGAATTGTGAGGAAGTCTCAGGCGGGAGCCCCTCCGTATGGGGCCCGCATCTCATGTTTCTAATCCGAGGCGGGTCATTCGAAACGTGTAACTGTCGTCACGTTTGGGCCCCTGTGGCGAGAATCTGGAGGTAGTGTCAGGCGGGAGCTTCGTCTGTGGGTGAATTGTGAGGAAGTCTCAGGCGTGAGCCCCTCCCTATGGGGCCCGCACCTCATGTGTCTAATCCGAGGCGGGTCATTCGAAACGTGTAACTGTCGTCACTGTTGGGCCCCTGTGGCGAGAATGTGGAGGAAGTATCAAGCGGGAGCCTCGTCTGTGAGTGAATTGCGACGAAGTCTCAGGCGGGGATGGGGCCCGCACCTCATGTTTTTAATCCGAGGCGGGTCATCCGAGGGGTTGTCCCAACGGCTGGCTCCGGCGCCCCTGCGGCCTGCGAGGTTGTCCCAACGGCCTGGCCCGAAGGGTTGTCCCGACGGCTTCGCGATCTAGCCGCCGGCAAACGCGCGCGCGCTGGCCGACGCGGCGACGGCGCCGAGGAAAATCGAGTTGCTTGCCACGACCAGGGGGAACGGGAGGTGCACATGGAGAAGAGGCAGGAGGATGAGGAGGGAAGGGGCATGGGGGAGGGCGACGACGAGGAGGAGGTGGCGCGAGAGGAGGAGGAGAAGGAGGAGGAGAAGGAGGAAGAGAAATAGAAGGAGGAAGAGAGGGCAGTGCAGAGGGCGAGAGGAGAGGATGTCCGCCAGGGGGAGGAGGAAAGGGCAAAGGGTAAGCTGAACAGGTTTTCATGCGGGGTCCTACCGTCGGAGTAATTATGTTTCTTCTCATTCGTATTATTCTTAGTATTAGTAATTGTCGTCGTATGCTTATTCTTCTTATTGTTCCTCTTCCTCTTCCTCTTCCTCCTCCTCCTCCTCCTCCTCCTCTTCCTCTTCCTCCTCCTCCTCCTCCTCCTCCTCCTCCTCCTCCTCTTCCTCCCCTGCCTGCCTCCCAGCTGGTCATCCTCCCTGGGTGCCTGCTTGGTATTCCACCCGAGGCTCTGAAACACGAAGCCGCTGACGGCCCCGACGACCACGGCGGACATCACCTGGCACGTGGGGTTCGCGAGCGCCCGCCGCAGGCGCGAGCCATCGCCGCTGGCCTCGTCGCCCTTCGGCATCCTGCTGGGCCTCGGCGGGGGCAGAAGGGAGGAGGAAGGCGACGAAGGACAAGAAGGAAGGAGGAGGAGGAGGACCAGTGCAAGCACAAGGCACATTAACGACGTTGCAATGAACCCTCCCTCCAAGTTCCCTCTTCATGAGTGCCAACAAGAACGTCTTCTCCTTACGGGAACTGCCCCATTGGAAAACAGCAGACTGAGAACCTCTGATCGTCTGCCATAACACCATTCCTGGGACTTGAACGCAGTGAGGCAACGTTACGGTTGCGTCCCGACGAGCATGAGTCGCGCCAGAACGCCACTCCTGGGGCTTCCGCCATACGAATCTCTGAAACTGCTGCAAACGTTGAAAACGATTGTGCGGGGCGCTGAGGCGAGAGCCACCTGTTCTTTAAAGGCATCACCATCCATCCGCGAAGGCCTTGCAAACTGGTAACACGAATGCGCGCGGCACTAAAGCGAGAGCCACAGTTTGAAAAGGACACAACCTCTATCCGTGAAACTCCTGTAAGCTGTTAAGACGAGTGCGCGCGGCGCCACGGCGAGAGCCACAGCTTGAAAACGGCCCGCCTCCACACATAAAATCCCCGCAACAAGGTAATACGAATGTGCGCGGCGCCAGAGCGAGAGCCACATTTTGAAAAGACACGCCCTCCATCCGCGAAGATCTTGTAAACTTTTAGAACGAACGTGCGCGGCGCTAATGCGACAACCACATTTTGGAAACGGCCCGCCCTCCATCAGTGAAACTGTTGCGAATTCAAAGCTTCAGGATCGTCAATGATGAGGACTCAGGCGAAACACTCGGCCCGCTCTACCGACACATCTGTGAGTGCGGCAGGGGGGGGATCATTTAGAAAGACGAAAAATTGAGGAGAAAGGAGGGGGGGATGGAGGAATGGAGGGAGGAGGGGCGAGGAGGAGGACGAGAAGAGGGGACGAAGGGCAAGGAGATGAAATGAGATAGAGGTGGAGGGAGAGGAGGAGGACAAGGGAGGAGAGGGAGGGAGGGAGGAGGAAGAGAAGGAGGAGGAGGAGGAGGAGTCCAGTCGCAGTGCTTGGGCCACTGTCCTGAATGCTCTGAACACTCTCCGCTTCTCCACGGCCACGGATGACTTGGACGCGCCCTGCCCTCCCAGTGCCATCACGCACGGCACGAAAGACAAGGAGGCCAGAATCGACAGCTCCAAAACCACTATGCGCGGTCAGTGGACCTCTTGCCTGCAATCGATTATTTGCGAATGCGCTGAGGTGTGAACGATTCCCGCTGGCACAATCCATCCACAGCCAGGCCCATCCGCGCCTAGATGCAGGGCGCCGAAGATGCCGAAGAAGGCACCCAGTCTTGGAATGCGCCGAAGATGCCTCGAGCCAGGAGCTGCAGGGGTGCCCTGCTCCACTGAGGGGCAACGATAGGGGGGGACTGGCAGGGGAGGGATGCATCGACCTAGAATCGGCGATGCATCGCCACTAGATCGGCGACAGGCCCCCGATAGTGAGCCCGCACCCTCCTGTGCAGGCTGGGGCTATCGGGCCCCTGTAGCGGCGATCATTGGGCGATTTGGGGTCGTTGCATCCCCCCCTGTCCCTATCCCCCCCCTCTCGTTTCGGAGTCCCGAAACGGTGCGGTGACAGACCGTGCGGTGACCTCGAAATCTCCCAAGACCTCATCGCGCGGTCTGTCACCGCACGGTCGTGGGACCCCGGAGGCCCCTGTCGCCCGAGACATCCTCGGAGAACGACCCGAGTCCCAAAACCGTGCGGTGACCCCGAATCCCCACCGACTCACCGCACGGTGTGGTCACTACCCCGTTTGCGGCCCCCCAAACGTTGCCCCCGATCCACGCGCTCCTCTGGAGAGCCGCCCTTCGCTGCACGCGCGCTTTTCCGAGGGGGCCGCCGCGCAGCCCTGCGCTCCGGGCGGGACACCAGCCTCCTGGGCTCCGTACAGGTCTGTGGGGCGGCAGCGCGGGGCAGGCCCGCCCTGGCGGCGCGCAGAAAAGGGGTTCCTCGAAATCACTTCTCCATCGCCCCCCCCCCCCCAGAAAAACCGGACCCCCCTCCAAATGCGACCTGATATTCTGGACCCCCTCGTCGACGGGGCGCCTTCATGAACCGGACCCCTTAAGCTCCAATCCAAAGAAAGAGCCCTAATAGACCGGACCCCCCAAATTAATAAAGAAAGGCGGCTTAAAAACCGGATCAGGGGGACGATTAATAAGGGATTTGGAGTAGGGGGAGGGGGGGGCTTCTTAGAAGGAGCACGGGTATCGTCTATGAATGCAGGGCCGGCGCCTTCTATGAAGCGGCCTCCTTCTGAGAAGCCTTCCCCCCTCCCCCTACCCGAAGGTCGGGCACGTCCTGCTACAGGCGGATTGGAAGACCAGATGAAAATAGTGTTGTCTGTTGCACAAAACAGATGAATCAAGATATACATTGATCGATGAATAAAGATATGAAAAAAGGAAATGGTCACCAGACTATTCCATACTACTCTGGAATACCTTCCATATGAAAGGACATGTCCGACCTAACACTACCCCCCTCTGCTCGGGGATCTTCTGACCAGGTCAATCCAGGCCCGGGTCAGTCAGGCCTTGCAGAATCCTGAAAGATCCTGCAAGATCCTGCATCCAAACCCGGGCCAACGCGAAGGATCCTGCAGGATCCTGCACCCAAACGCGGGCCAATACGACCCTGGCCCTGCAGGATCCTGCAAGATCGGGCGCTCTTGGGGAAACCAAAAAGTACCGATACCGATACCGCTACTCCCCGGACCTCTCCTGGGGTGCGCTCTGACCAGGATTTCGAGGCGAATCCAGCGGTGGCGACGACGGGGGTCCAGGAGGCCCAACAAGGGGAAGACGAGGGGAGGGTAGAGGTATGGGTACCTTTTCCTCCTCTGAGCTCTGGCTGACCCCCGTTTGCATGGACCCCCGTCTCAGAGCTCCCGACCTGCACGCCGCCAGCAGCTGCCGGTGGGGGGGGAGGGGCAGGGTAGGGGGCCACATGCGACTACCCCCACGATTTCTGTATGGAAGGGTGGGGTTCACCTCTTTCGGGAGCTCTCCCGAGCGAAGTGAACCCTACCCTCCCCCTCAGTAATCGTGGGGGGTAGGGGTAGGGTTCGCATGTGGCCTGCTACAGGGGAGGGGCGGAGGCTCTCACAGCGGTCTGGGCTGGTCGCCGGGCAGGTCCTGGGGCCCGCTCTCTGCGAGCACCACGTTCCCGGTGACGAAGCACACGCGCGCGAGGCACAGCCTGGTGAGCTCGTCGAAGAGCGACCCGTCCTGCAGGCGCGGACGGCGCCGCGTCGTACGACGAAGCCAGGAGGAGAAGAACCACGGGCGAGGATGAGTCGAGAATCTCTGAGGTTCGGCGGCTCTGAAGGATGCCGCGGGCGCCGCAGCCTTCTCGGAGCGTTCCGGAAGGCTCTGAAAGCGTCATGGAACGCTCTGAAACGGATTCATCCTCGTCCTAGCCCCGTCCGAGGTCGGCACGACTCGGAATCGGACCGAGCCCGCAGCGCCAGGATGCACACCGACGCCATGCAGGCATCGGGACGCCTCGGGCAAGCGGGACACCGGGGAATCCAGTCGGCTCGGGCCAGCCGAAACCGATATCGAGCCGATCGAGGTTGACCCTGATCTTGGCTTGCGGGCCATCACTCCAGTCTCCAGCGGCTCTGCGGGACGAGCCGGGCACCCCCAGAACCCTCTCGGCGAGGCGCGGCTGCCGGAACGCGTCCCGAGGCAGGAGAATCGTCTGGACCTGACGAAAACGTCAGAGAAAGTCCAAAATCCAGACCCCCAACGTGAAACCCCCCGAGGTCTCGACCCGTTCCCCAGGACTGGTTAGTCCCGAGTAGCTTTTTGACAGTCCCTGGGCCTGGCGAGAGCCCCCGGAGACCCAACAGGGCCAAAACTGACCCGTCGCTGTTTCCCACGCGGCGAGCACGTGCAGGACAAACACGTTCGAAAACGTCCGATATCGACACGCCTAGGGGTGCGACAGGGGAAGTTCTCAGTAAGGGATGATGATGATGATGATGATGATGCTGCTGCTGAAGATGAAGATGATGATGATGATGATGATGATGATGATGATGATGATGATGATGGTGATGGTGATGATGATGATGATGATGATGATGCTAATGATGATGGTGATGCTGATGATAATGATGATGATGATGATGATGATGATGATGATGATGATGATGATGATAGTGGTGATGATGCTGCTGATGATGATGATGATGATGATGATGGTGATGATGCTGATGCTGATGCTGATGCTGATGCTGATACTGATGCTGATGCTGATGATGCTGATGCTGATGATGTTGATGATGATGATGCTGATGATGGTGATGATGCTGGTTATGGGTATGGGTATGGGTATGGGTATGGGTATGGTGATAGTGATAGTGATAGTGATGGTGATGGTGATGGTGATGGTGATGGTGATGGTGATGGTGATGGTGATGGTGATGGTGATGGTGATGGTGATGGTGATGGTAATGGTGATGGTGATGGTGATGGTGATGGTAATGATGATGATAGTGGTGATGGTGATGGTGACGGTGATGGTGATGGTGATGGTCATGGTGATGGTGATGATGATGAAGAGGAGGAGGAGGAGGAGGAGGAGCAGGAGAAGGGGGGGAAAAGAAGGAAGGGAGGGAGGGAGGAAGGGGAGGGAAGTGGGGCGAGGAGAAGGACGAGAAGAGGAGGAGAAATGAGAGAGTCACATCGATGGAGGGCAACGATAGGGAGGGACTGGCATAAGGGGGAAACATCGACCTGACATCGGAGATACATCGCCGATTGGTCTTCCGTAATTAGGCCCCCGATAGTGAGTCTGCACGTTCCTACTCGGGGGTGGGCTATCGGGCCCCTATCGGCGATGAATGGACAATTGGGGGTCGATGCATCCCCCCCTATGCCTGTCCCTGTCCCCGGTGGCTTTCGGGCCATAACTCGGGACTCCAGCGGCTGTTCGGGACGATCCAGGCACCCGTGGAACGTTCTCGGCGAGGCGCACCTGCCACGACGCATGCCGAGGCAGGACAAACTCCGGGAACGCCCGAAAACGTCCGAAAACTCATCCCAAAACCAGGCCCGTTCCCTCCCTGTCGTTTCGGCGATGGACAAACCTCCCTTTAGAAAACCACCCTTAAATGAAAACGGCCTGGGACCGAAACCGACGGACCTGGACCCGCAAAAATGACGGCCGCGACGCCCTCTCGCGAACCGAAAACGGCCAACTCGCTAATCGACGCGTCAAGGCAGGAGGTCTGTCCACCCCCGATCGATGCCCCCTAATCGACGGCCCTGTCCTGCGACTCGCCGGCGGCATCCGGGAAATCCGAGGGCGCGAGGCCGGCGGCGCCGCGGCGCTCGATCTCGGCAAGCGTCGCCGCGACCGCGCCCGCGACCTCTCGGGTCGGCAGGCGCACCAGAGGGGCCCAGGGCGTGCACGCGTCCTGGGGCTCCTCTCGTCCTCCTTCTCGCCACTCTTCCCTCCCTCCCTCCCTCCTGCCCTCCCTCCGTCCCTTCCTCTATCACCGTTCCTCCTCCTCCTCCTCCTCCTCCTCCTCCTCCTCCTCCTCATCATCATCATCATCATCATCATCATCATCATCATCATCATCATCATCATCATCATCATCATCATCATCATCATCATCATCATCATCATCATCATCATCATCATCATCATCATCATCATCATCATCATCATCATCATCATCATCATCATCATCATCATCATCATCATCATCAGCATCATCATCATCATCATCACCATCATCAACCATCATCATCAATCAACATCATCATCAGCAGCAGTATCATTATCACCAACCCACCACCACCACCACCACCACCATCATCATCATCATCATCATCATCATCATCATCATCATCATCATCAGCGTCATCATCCTCATCAGCATCATCATCCTCATCCTCATCCTCATCCTCATCCTGATCATCATCATCATCCTCAGCATCATCATCATCATCATCATCATCATCATCATCATCATCATCATCATCATCATCATCGTCATCGTCATCATCAGCATCATCATCCCTTACTGAGAACTTCCCCTGTCGCACCCCTAGGTGTGTCGATATCGGACGTTTTGGAACGTGTTCGTCCTGCACGTGCTCGCCTCGTGGGAAACAGCGACGGGTCCTGGCCAGGCCCGGGGACCGTCAAAAAGCGACTCGGGACGAAAAAAACAGTCACGGGGAATGGGTCGAGACCTTGCGGGTTCCGCGTTGTGAGACAAGCTTGACGTCGGAGGTCTGGATTTCTGAATTTCTCAAACGCTTTCGTCGGTTCCAGGAAGTTCTCCTGCCTCGGGAGCGTTCCGACAGCCGCGCCTCGCTCAGAGCGTTCTGGGGGTGCCCGGATCGTGCCGAACGGCCGCCGAAGACTAGAGTTGAGGCCCGCAAGCCGAGATCAGGCGGGGAAGGGACGAAGGCTGAGAGCTCTGTAATGCTGGTCCTCCTCCCCCTCCCCCCTCCCCCATGATCCTCATCCTCCTTCCCTGGATGCTCCTCACCGCGTCCTCCCTCCTTCTCCCGTCCCTCCTCTTCTTCCCCCCCTCCTCCTCCTCCTCCTCCTCCTTCTCTTCCTTCTCTTCCTCCTGTCATTATGATGTTTAATACGCACCATCATCATCACCACAACAATGCATCACAGTGAGTATCAGCATGAGCATCAACATCAGCATCGGCATCCGCATCAGCATCATCATCAGCATCATCATCATCATCATCACCATCACCATCACCATCACCATCATCATCATTATCATCATCACCATCACCATCACCATCACCACCATCATCATCACCATCATCATCATCATCATCATCATCATCGGCATCATCAACATCAGCATCAGCAGCATCAGCATCATCATCATAATCAGCAGCATCGTCATCGGCATCAGCATCAACATCAACATCATGATCATCATCATCGCTATCATCATCAACATCAGCATCATCAACAACATCATCCTCAGCATCAGCATCAGCAGCAGCAACATCATCATCATAAACACCATCATCATTATCACACCATCCTCATCACGGCCACCACCACCACAACAACCACCAGCACCACCACCACTATAGTCCGCAACGAATAGTTAGCAAATGAAGTGTCCAACAATAGATAGCAACTTGTGCAGTTGTCCCCTTTTTCTATAGTATTTTTAGATACTCGAAGAGCCCATTGTGTGCTAACTATGGGGCGCTCTGGAACCCGGGCGATTCGCTACATAATCGGGAAATGGCGACAACCTTGAATCCGTTGACTACGGAAAAATACAAAAACGCATGAAAAAATACCGAATCCGACACGTGCGGGGGCAGTCAGCCGCCCCGCCAGTCAGTCAATCAGTCAGGCAGTCAGCTGCCCGAGTTGTGAGGATGTCTCGAGCGGCGGCTCCCGAGTTGTGAGGATGTCTCGAGCGGCGGCCCCCTCCCGGCCAGTCAGTTAGTCAGTCGGTCAGTCAGTAAGTCAATCAGTTAGTCAGCCAGTCAGTCAGAAAGTCAGTCAGACAGTCAGTCAGTCAGTCAGTCAGTCAGTCAATCAGCCGCCCCAGTTCTGAGGATGTCTCGAGCGGCGGCTCCCGAGTCGTGAGGATGTCTCGAGCCCCACTCAGGGCCCCGCTGAAACATCTCGGGCTCTTTTATAGAAGTGTACAGATCTTGGGTCCTGAGAGCCCCGTCATTGAGTGCTAACTATGGGTCGCCGTTTTGGGGCGGTCTTGGGCCGCCTGGGGACGGTCTTGGGCTATTTTGGAGCCGTCCCGGGGCTATATATATTGGAGCGTCTTGGAACCTTCGTGGGCCGTCTTCGAGACGTCTTGGGGCCATCTTGAGGCGTTTTGGGCCGCCTGTATATAGGCCGTCTTGGGGCCTTGTGCAGCCGTCATTGTGTGCTAACTATAGGTTTGGGCCTGGGAGGGGTCTCGGGGCAGTCTTGGGCCGCCTGGGGGGATCAGCGGCAGAGGAGGAGAGGAGCAGGAGTTGTCTCAGGCGCGCGTCTCCACAAGTATAGAATCTATACAGCAATACAGAGAATGCAGATCTACACATGCTTCGACTTAGCGCAAATCTTGCACAACGGCCAATATTGAAGGCCAGTCTTATTCAGGCGGCCCGAAAAAGGGGTTGGGAAACGAGGGTTCGCTTTCCCAGTTGAGGGCGAAATGGAGGAGGAGGGAGGGGGGGCAACGAGGGAAAGGAGGGGGGAGGAGGATTGAGGAGGATGGATATATAAGGGGAAGTGGGAAGAGGATATCGGAGAGAAGAGGGCGGGGAGGGGAGGAGGGAGGGGGATGCGGGCCTTGGAGAAGTAGGAGCAGGGAGGGAGAGGGTGGTCTCGGAACCCCCCGTTCCCAACGCCCAGCGGCGTCTCGATGCTTCAGGCCATGGCACGCGTCTGTCAAGTGGTATTTCTCCCCAGCGCTCGACGTGATCACGACGTCGTACGAGCCGATCGGCCGCGAGGATGGCGACCGAGTCGTTGAAACCGAAGGTCCTTCCGGCGGCGGCGGCGTCGCCGGCGGCGTCGCCGCCGGCGACGGCGACGCAGCCCTACGACCAACGCATTGGCAGCACAGGAACCCCGTCAGCAGGCCGCACAGGAATACGAGCAGCAGGACAAACATCTGCCGAGGGGCCGACGGGACGAGGACATTCGAGGCAGGGCGGTTTGAGACACTGGGAGTTCGAAATCGGATCAAAATCTGTCCCTGGACCCCTCCTGGGGTCCAAACGCACCTTTTAAGGCCAACTATATATATATATATATATATATATATATATACACATACCCCAGTGTATCAAGTGGCCCTCCTCTGAGGCCTCATGGTCCGAGGGGCGGTCCGAGGGACGCGCCGCGACGCTCGCTGAGGAGCCACCAGCGGCGGCGGGGCGGAGCGGGATGAGTCGAGGATGGGGGTTATTGGGGCGTCTTGGGGCCTTGTGGAGCCGTCATTGTGTGCTAACTATGGGTCTGGGCCTAGGAGGGGTCTCGGGGTGCTTTGGGGCCGTCTTGAAGCCGTCTTGGGGCGGGCTTGGGCTGTCGGGGGGCGGCGGTCTTGGGCAATTTTGAGGCCGTCCTGGGGCTACCCTGGGGCCTCCTCTTCTTCCTTTCCTCTTCGTGCCCAGTGCCCAGTGTGGTTGCTCCTCCTTCCTCCTCCTTCCCCCTCCTCCCTCCACCTCCTCCCTCCCTCCTCCTCCCCCCGCCTCCCTCTTAACTATATATATAGTTATTTGTTTATCATTCTCCCTCCCTCCCTCCCCCCACCTCCCTCCTCCTCCTTCCTCGTGGCTCAGGGGTTCCGAAGGTTTCCCCCTTTCCTCTCATCCTCCCTCCCCCTCCTCCCTCCTCCTTCCTCCCTTTTACGTCGAGCGCTTGCGCACGCTGCGCTTGCGCTTCTGCCCCCGCTCCCTCGCTGGAGGCAGCTCGACGGACTCCTCGCCCTCGCCCTCGTCGGCCTCGCCGCACGCCGCCGCCGCCCTGGCGCGACGCGCCGCCAGCTGGCTGCGCAGGCGCGCGTTCGAGGCGGCGAGCTCCTCGATCCGCGCCCGCCGGGCCGCCGCGCCAGCCTCCTCCAACGGGCACTGCTCGACCGCGGCCCGCTCGGCAGCCATCGAAGCCAGCTCGGCCTCCGCCCTTCTGTGCTGGGCCAGGCGCGCGGCTGGCGAGCCGCTTGCGCCCGGCAGGGCCTCGGCCGCCGAACCCTCCGCGGCGGCCCTCTCGGTGGCGTCCGAGAGGCTCGGCGGCCCACATGGTGGGCTGTCGATCTCCGTCAGGCTGGCGAGCTCGCCCTCGGTCGGGCTCGATGGCGGCGGCGAGGGGTGCCTGGGCCTAGTCCACGGGCTGCTCCCGAGCTCGCACTCGATCGGGCTGGACGGGGGTGGCGGGCTAGTCGGCGGCGGGGTCGGCGACGAGGGCCAACACGACGTCAGGTCGCTCGATAGCGACTCCAGCGGCGAGGGCGGCAGCGCGGCGGCGCCAGGGGCGAGAGCGACGTCGCCTTCGCCCCGCTCGACGGCGTCGGCCCTGGCGGCCGAGCCGGCGACGACGGCGATGGCGGTGTCCCCAGCGACGTCGGCGGCGGCAGCGCCGCGGGCGCGGGCAGCGCCGCGGGCGTCGGCAGCGCCGCGGGCGCGGGGGCTGGGCGGCGACGTCGACGGGGAGGACGGCGACGCCATCGGCGACGACGACGACGGCAGAAGACCCGAGTCTAATGGCTATATACGGGCTACGGGCTATGGAGCCTATTCGTCTCTGGGTCCAGGGGCACGAAACGTGTAGGCCCCGTGGGTTGTGGGTTATCGAGCCGTCTTCGAGCCGTCTTGAAGGCCGTCTTCGAGCCGTCTTGGGGCCATCTTGGGGCGT